ATATTATATATCTACTCTCTCTCTCTCTCTCTCTCTCTCTCTACTATATATATATATATATATATATATATATATATATATAGATAGATAGATAGATAGATAGATGGATAGATAGATAGATAGATATAGATATAGATATAGATATATAGATATATATCTTTAGATATATATAGAATACAACACGGGGTATTCCATATCGCCCGAGGTATCGGCCCGACCGCGGGTCGGATCGATCCGACTTGCGGGAGGGCCGGGACCGAGGGCGATGCGGAATACACCGTGTTGTATTTTATTTATATCATACCCACCCAAGAAAACGCGCCTTTCAATGCAATATGAGCCAAAAGTTGGTGCCCCTAAACCCTCAAATGCAACAACATCAGTTCTAACGTCCGGATTCTGTATTCGAATTTTCGAAAGGGGCACAAGCGGGTAGGGAGAAACGCGTTCGAATCGTTTTATGGAAGCCATGGAAGCGTTCGATAACGGGTTCCGGACCGGGCCGTACCGTAACGTACGGCCCGGTCCGGAACCCGTTATCGAACGTTATCGCGGCCCGGGTATGATATAAGGTAAGATAATCCCTCGTCGGGTGCAATACGTAAAGAATATTCACCTCTTAAATCACCTCGTTTCACTCGGTGGTTATCACACCCGGCCAGGGATTATCTTACCACATACACCTCGAGTCGGGGTCTGTACTGGGTCTTCCGGACAGTCACACAGTGTGGTCGGGAACAATCATGCTTCGCTACTTACATAACAGTCAAGTATGAGCATAATCTATAATCTTCCTAGCAGAGACGTCCCGTAGGCTAACAAATCTACTAGGCAAGCATCATTTGCAATTCACGAAAATACATAGATTCAACACGGTTTGGTTGTAACCCGTTGGCGTGCGATCAAAACAGACACAGTATGTATTGTGCATGTGCAACAATACCACCACAACAGTTCATATATGTTGAAAGTTCATCACTTGTTGTAGGTACGTTTTAGATACTGTATAAGAGTTTGCAGCTATGATATTATCGTCGGTCACGTCACGTCAGAGGCCCAGCTCCTGCTTGGGAATCTTCCCTATCTGCTATAGTCCGCAAAGTTCAGATCGTCAAATCAGCGCCCAGCAGAGTCCAGGAGTCAAACGGCCTATGAATGTTACGGCTGTGAATGTCCAACAGCGTGGATTCGGCGTTCGGCGACACTGGTCGGCAGCTGTAATCGGATCGGGCTGGCATGGTCTGGCACGGCAGCGTAGTCGAGTCTGGCGCGCAAAGTGTACACATCTGGCCCGGTGTAGGGATCAATATTCAGCGACGTCGGCCAGCACAAGTTGTCGACATTGCGGCACGTCGGCGATCGCGGTCGCGTTGGTTGGCACCATGGCACGGCAGGAGACAGGGTAGCGGACCAGGGGATGACGCTGCAGCGGGTACGGCCGCTCGCAAGCGGCAACTCACCGCTGCCACCAGATGTAAATAAGACGAAAAGGACGCACTTCTGAACTCGTCAATGGCTTTATCTCAACTGATTTATTCAGCTACTAACTGTCCGGTTCTAGAGCCCCTTCCCTCGAACGGTACCGGTAAGGATCACCTGTTCGAACACGACGCTGGCACGTGCGCTCGCACGTGTTCGAACAGGTGGCCGGCCCTGCCCGAGGGAGGGACTACGACCGTCCGTTATGACACCATATTACTTGTACTTGATTAGGTCTCCTTAGCTTAGCGAGACTGGCCTGTGTCAAGGCCTTATGACACCATATACAACGAGGAATAGTCGCGGATCAGATGTGAGGTTTGCGACCTGAATCTGATATACTTGAACTACAGATTGATCCTACATGTAATCTTGTGCCCAGGGTCATGTGAATAGATCGATCCTATATTGGTCGAGGTGTTTACGGATTTTTATATCCTTAAAAACTTTAATCACCTACATGTATGAGACATTATTCACCACCACTGAGGTTATGGCATAATGATAACCAATATCAATATCTTCTGTCCTTCTTACCAGAAAACTGGGCCTTTCTGAGCAAAATTTACCCAGGAAAAAAAATTATCTAAAAAATAAGTACCAAAATAAAGCGCATGACGATTTGCTGGTCCCTACCCATACAGCATTGCTACCTGTGTTCTTTGGGGATAGCAAAAAAGACCCATTTTACACAATTTTATAGTGGTGTGTGCCAAACTATGTCTTAAGTTCATTTGGCATTTGCCTAAGACACATCTATAACAAATTTCAGGTCGTTTGGTTTTAATACAAGGGCATACAAGCATTTTGTCTGGAAAGAGCAGAAAAACTTATTTTACACAAATTCAAAGTAGTGTTAACCAAAAATGTGAGTATAGTTCTTTGGGCATACGTCAAATGCACTCCTATACCAAATTTTAGGTCATTTGGTTGTAATATTAGGCCACAGGAGCCAAAAATGTACATTTTTTGTCTGAAAATAGCAGAAAAGACCTGTTTCACACCATTTTCAAGTGATGTATGCCAAAGCTGCAAATGTCATTCTTTGAGTATATGCTCAAGGCACCCCTGTACCAAATGACGAATTCTACATCCCGTATTTCCATAGAAAGACATGGTACAGGCTAGATAAATAGTATGTTGCTTCGTTCACAAAAAGACTCTCTGACCACTATAACTACGATAATCATCCTCAAAAAGCCTACACTATACATACACACAACACCCACCAAAACAATATCACGCTGTCGAAGGCATAAGTCCTCCGAACTCTGGTTGTTTAATGTCCTACCCTGCCTTAAGGCCTAGGCCTACATGTATTCTCCACTAAAATAAACCAGACACTTGTACTGTTGACCCCCATCTGGCTCTAAAAGGTCCCAAGCCTTCGGTTCGGAAACACCTGAAGTGGTGTACAAACTGCTTATGCTTTCTAACTTTGCCATGCCGAACTGCAGGGCCAAATACTAAGAATTCTTTCATCCTGTGCCAATGATTTGTGTTGGTCCATTCAAGGTACCATCTCCCATGCAGCTCTACTGTTTTGGACTAATTTGGATATTCTCTATAATCAGGCAATGTGACCAAGGTATACGTCTGTCTGATCTATGGACACTTTCTCGCAAGATTTCTGGTCGGAAACACAAACGAAAACCACAAAAACCTTGCAGGACCACGGCAAACAGCTAGGGAAGCAGATTTACACCACTAAACCCTTATGTCAACAACTGCAATGTACATGCCACCTTGTATGTATACCTTGTATATTATGCAATCATTTTTGTACACTGCTGTCAGACTGTACAATGAGACTTTGTAATAAGCTGTTATTTCGTGCCCCTTTCAAGTATAGTATGAATGTGTTTTAAATGCCATTCTTTCAGAATTGTTTTTAACTCGCGTAACTGTCGCAGCTACAAAATATATCTATTTTAAAGATTATAAATGATGAAAAATGTTTTTAAAATGTACATTATACTGCGAATTTTAGTATTTGATTTTAAAATGTTGTAAGTCGTAATTTCAATTTAACGTATTTTTCGAAATGTAACATGATACTAGCAATTGTAACGTGCGTGCGACTTGTGTACAAACCTCACAATTCAGCCGAGGCTGCGATGGGTTTCGGTTTTCAATAAACAATTGACATCATGAACAAAGAACATCCAGTGCCAAAGTTATTTGAACAAAGTGCCATAGTTAATCACTAGGTGCCCAAAATCGATCTTCACCGTCCGGTTCACCCCACCTACATGTACGTAGTACATGTACCTGACAAATACCATCCAGCAGATCTCAAGATATAGTCCCACACATTATCACTCCCAGATTTAAAAAAATACACATTTTTCATGGAGTTAAAAAGGATATTTACATGCCCTTGTAAAAGATTACGATAAAAAAATGCTTTAATTTGAAAGTACATGACTTCTTATTGTATAACATGGAAGTACATAAAGTATGGTTTGGCCTGTAAATAATCAAGGACCAGATACTTTAAAATACATTGTAGCCAAAAACGTAGAAGAACTTTACCCATTTAGGCAGGCACTTTGCAGATGAATATGCAGCTTCTTTTCTTATTATGTATATTTGTGTGTTTTCAGGGTGGCAAATTATTTTAGGCCACAGGAAGTAAAGTTTATGGATGACATCATCCGCAGACTCAAAATTTAATGCGATAGGGGAAAAAACAACACGGGCCAAAAACAACAAGATTCCTACATTTTCAAATTTAGATATCATAAACCTTGTTAAAAAACAAATGTTGTGCTAAGTTAACTACCAACTAGTACAACATCCATTTCTCGCTGAAACAACTTTGAAAAATAAAAGTTTTTAATGTACAAATGCTTTTGATTCAGTGGGAACATCACTGCAGTTCCAGAACAAGCTGCTAGGGGGCCTAAACTCACGTGACTTCTTCCCGTGCACAAGAGCTACCAACCTCCCAAAATTTATGACCCAAGCATGTCCAGATTGCGAAATATCAAAACCGGAAGTTACGCTGCAGTACCAAAGGAAGCCACAAGGGGACCCAAAATCTCATCATTTCCAGTTTTCATCACACCCTACCAACGCACCAAATATCAAACCAATCCACCCAGCCGTTCTTGAGTTATTTTGTTGACCAACAGAATGACAAATGCAACTGAAAATATAACCTCCATGACATGACATGGAGGTAATTACTTGCTGTGGCCTAATTATCAATTACACTCGATGTGAAGCTGTCAATTTGTCAAAAACAGTTGTACAATCCATTGTTGTTGCTACACGACTGTATCATGCTACAATATAGGAAGTTTAGGAAAGAAAATATTGCAATATAGGAGTAATGTGTAGGCCTTAAGTTTTCAAAATTCATAGTTATCACTTTTATATTTATTTCTTCAGCTCATATGCAATGTAAGAGATTCCTGAACAATTTGTTTACATAATTCTGTGTAATTTTATCTTGTTATCAGCTGTATCAAACTTGTACTGATCTTTACTTTACTTTAAAAAGAAATCTATAGATGCAATAACCAAAGACATGCGTCTACACTTTATACCAGCAGGATTAAGTGAATTCTTGATAAGGCTTGGGTAATCATCACTGTCTAAAGATGACAAGCTTTTGATAAAGTGGACAGTCAAGCCTAATTACCAGGAATAAGAATAATTGTCATCAGTAAAAAAAGTAATAATAGAGCCTGCTTTGAATTTACCTGTTCAAAACGCCAGCGGGTTACAATCATAGCGTTTTCTGTCAAACAACAACGACAGGATTTTGCAGGGTACAGAAATGTACATTCTAAGAATCATCAAGATATTTTCTGATAGAATCCTATAGCATGATGTATGTGATAGGGGCATTATATGTTCAGGTCGTCTAGATCTGCTACTTCTCTCAAACGTGCATTACAAGTGTACAAAAACAAACTGGTGATGTTTATATGCCAGGGCTGTAACTTTGACACATGAATAATCTGGTCTGGCAGGTCCTGTGCACATTCTGCTTCCTGCCTGGTATCACCGCCATATCCTACAGGTGTTGTCCTTACTTCCTGCAGGATAAAAGAAATCAATAATATATAAATGTACCAGCAAAGAATCAAGTTTCATGACATTCCCCCAACACAACACCATGTAATTATAATAACCTGCCATCAGGCTAGTGCTGTGAATGACCATTAATGGTTTAATTATGGGTTCACCACACCACGAAGTGGTGGTGAACCCATATTGCTTTTTCTGATGTTTCTTCTTCTCCTTCTCCTTCTCCTGCCATTTTTTAAATGGATTCAGCTTCTTCATTTTAGGGCCTAAGGTCCTGAAATTTGGTATGGAGGTACAGTGGGCAAATACCCCTAGGCGTTTTTTAAATTTTTGTGATACAGGCTTTTAGAATGGTTTTATTTGAGTTTTTTGGCTGTATTATAGCAAATGTATTACTGTGTTAGTGTGCCATGTTTACCACGTCTGGGCATGAGTCATCACAATGGAATGCAGGGCATCTTTCCTCTATACTTCTTGCTGATTGGCTGTTGGGATTTAACTTGATTAACACCTGCACAGAGCATTTCCACCTGCACAGAGCATTTCTTGCTGATTGGCTGTTGGGATTTAACTTGATTAACACCTGCACAGAGCATTTCCATACTGACAGTATGTCTTTATTCAAGTGTTTTGGTAGGTATTTCAAGCTTTTCTGCTCCAGCATTGGAATGCGGGGCATGAACGTTTTTTTATTTTATTTTGAAAATCAACAGTTTGCATTATGCAATTAAAAATCCTAACCAATAAAGTAGGGAATAGCTATCCAACTGTTGTTTTAGTTGTATGTTACTTCATATTATAGTTATATCAATGTAAATCATTGTTTTCCCTTGTGTTTCTCATTCTTTCCCTGCCATGTCGTAAAATGTGGTGAACCCATCGCTGTATTTGCTCCAAAGCAAATATTGGCCTTTCTAGTTTTCTGAACAGTTTTTAATATGATCCATACTTTCCAAAGTGATGCAGGTAGAATTTGTCTGGTGCAGGTAATTGTTAATGTTACATTTTTGTACCTGCAACAGCAGACCAAATATTGAATTTCATACAAAATGAGAATTTAACAGTTCTCCAACTCAAAGAACTAACCAGAATTTTCACCTGAATCTCTTGGTCTTTATCAGCTTTCTGACCCAAGTTCTGTAGACACATGATTTTTCCCATGTATGACATCAGCACTGGGTCATTAGTCTGTCCCAGTTGAGAGGAGGTTGACTGATGTACATGTACATGCAGATGATTTTGTTCACACCTCCGACAAACTTTGACCTAGTGCTGATGTCACACATGTGGAAAAATTATGTGTGTACAGCACTTGGGTCAGAAAGCTGATGAAGACTGAATTGGTTGAAATTTCCAGTGAGTCAGTTTTTTTAGGGTTGGAGAGCAGATCAATTTTCATTATTTACCAACTGCAGATGAACTTTCATGCTAATACATGTATCAGTTACCTGTTATAATTGTATTGCCCTCATAGTTAAAGGCACAGCTAAAGATCTCATCAGAATGCCCTGCCAAAATCTGTTGACACTTGCCACTCTGGGGGTCCCACAGTCGAGCAGACTTGTCTGCACTGGCAGTCAGAATCTTGTTGCCTTGGGGGTTGAAGCAAACCTATCAGGGAAGTTTAGGGGCAAAATGTTATGTATTGTAATGAATGACAACATTAATTGCACATTTTTGCCACACTGGGCTAGGTGCAGATCAAAACAAAACAAGATGAACAGATATGCATGTATGTAAAATAAAACTAGCTAAAGTTAAACATTAAAAACATTAGATAAAATTCAATTCAACTTGTCGCCTTTCAGTTATAATAGAGATAAAGGAACATATGTTTTTCGATGGACGGTTTGTCTTGTTGCATAAGGAATATTAACTTTTTTTACAGTGCTCAAGAGCGTATAAAGTAAGGAAATAGGTTTTGTACAAACCTATACAGTTCATTTCTCTCTTTACCATACAATCTTCATTCTATAACAAAGTGACATTCATCTTCTACTCTATTCGAATTAGACCACGTTGATTTGATTATACAGATGACATCTGTGCACGCATGAATTTTCGTCCATTTCCCAAAAAAAAGTTTTCGATCATACTGTAAATCATACAAAATGAGCGCATAAATGTTGTATCTTCAAAAAAAAAATGTTGGAAAAAGATACTTAAATCAATTCAGGAAAAGAAGAAAATGTGAATAAGTAAAAATGTCTTATTATTATTTGCCATACCATTCTTTTACCATACTGTTTAGTCATTTGTTCAACCTTTATGACCACGTAGATTTCATAATGAAGTAAACTTTTTTTGCCAAATTTTTTTATTTCTTTGCATGCTTCTCAGAGGATGTCATCCATATAATCAAATCAACATGGCCTTACAATATTTACATTTTTTTTTAAATCTTGTGCGGGCATGCCTTCTGGTTTCAATATGTAGTTTGTGGCAGCTGATATTAGTCTTGTGACTGCATTTCTGGCCTTTATACTTTCATTACTAACATTTTTTTACTCATTTAACATAGTTTAAAACAACCTATATGAGAATGGCTTTCTTTATTAAGATAAAGCTGTCTTTTGGTGAAGAATATGAGCAACTGATATAATTCATGCAAATGAGCATCCTATTTGCATAATCAGGAGGAATAATATTCACTTTGTCAGTCATAAAGATTAACATCATTTGGCAAAGGTATGAGATCGTGGAACTCTAGTTTCAATTACATTTTCATGGGAGATACAGTGTTCAAATAGGAACATACATTAAAGAATGTTTCGATCTTAGAGACCCCATGTTAGAGAATAGTTAAACCTTTATTGTTATCGCATACATATATTCTGTACGAAGGATGACGTCATCCACACATGTATTTTGCTTTGTAAAAGACCGTATAAAAGTCCCTGTACTTTTTGTTGTTCTTGATAAAGAATCAGTTTATACATAATCTATAATAGCTGCTAGCAAAAAATGTAATTGACTATCAATTAAGTACTTTACTCATGACAATGTTTTGATGACCAATTTGTTATCTTCATCAGGGCTTCGCCACAACTACTTGATGTTTGAAACCACATTGTTAGCAACCTCATTAAAATATTATACTGTCAACAGGTACAATGTAACACCTATCTTACGTGAACAGCGAACAAGTCATTTACAGCCTTGTACATGTAGAACATGTTGAAGTGGGTCAATGGCCCTCATACTGATCTGTAACAACATTAACAATATAGTACATGTATGTTATGTATAACCTTACCTTGGAGATTTCTCCCTCATGTCCTTCCAACTTCACCAGACACTGATGAGTCACAGCGTTGTACACACGGCCTGTGCCTGTGATAAACAGATAGACCTCAATCACCTTCACCAGATTAGATTTATTATTATTATTACTTTTAGTAAGTGTTGTGTTGTGTTGTGTTGGGCGGAAATGTTGCTGTGGTTTTCTTGTTCTCTATCTTAGGCCATGTTGATTTGATTATATGGATGACATCCTCCGGGAGCCCCAAAACTGATGCACGAAGGAAGTTTTTTTCATTATGAAATCTACGTGGTCATGAGGGTTGAGCAAATGGCACAGAATATGGTTTGGCGAATAATCTAGACTTCAAGTCTTCAAGTTCATTTCTTTACAATTTCGTCTTTTTGCGTTTGATTTTGGCATTCTATGACATTGGTATAGTTTTTATTAATTTTTTTGTAACTTATGGTATATTTTTGCTCATTTTGAAACTGTTTTGTACGATTTACAGTATGGTTGAAAACTTTTTTTTTTTGGAAACGGCCGAAAATTCATGCGCGCGCGGATGTCATCCATATAATCAAATCAACATGGCCTTATGTTGAAGCCATGCTTAGACACGTACTGTCCCCTGTCTTAGACAAGTTTGTGGTTCTAAAATTCGAAACGGGATCTAAAATTCGATTTTGGGCTTAAAATACAACTTTTTCATACGTTTTTCCTCAATAAAATCATTTTTGACATGTACAGTATGTCGGGCAAGATCGAGTGGATCATGTGCCCATCTACCAATTTCGAGTTTTCCCAGCCCTACTGTTACTGTAGTTTTAAAGATAGTGATGTTTTTTTATGTGTTTGGAGATAGAAGAAGAAGAAGCAAAAGAGAAGAAGAAACAGAGCAAAAACTAGAAAGGCCGACATTTGCATGACAAATACAGCATATTTCAGTCCATCTCCCTCCCACGCAAAAGTGGACTATTCCAAACTTACCCCAGTGCAAAAGTGACAAAGGTTCTCAAATAAATGAATTAAATAGTAGCTATATGAGAACAAAGATGCAACAACAAGTACTTTGAATCTCGAAAGCTTACTAATCTTATTACAGGTATGCAAAAACTAACAATGATAAGATTCGATACATTTTGAGGGTCTTAGGCACATAAAATTGAATGTGTGGGTCATTACGCACCACTTAGGTGCAATGTGACCTCAGGTAACCCGCAATGGAACACGTGTTCCATGGATGGAACCGGCCATTCTTTAGATAGAACATGGAACGGGTACAGCACTTTTGGCCCTTTTTTGCTGAAAATAGTCATTAAAGTCCCCCAAATGAGTCATTTGGAAGTGGTGTATGCCAAATACATGACTTCTATTCTGTAGACACACGTTCAAGGTACCCTTAAACTGAATGTCATATCATTTGATTGTAATACCAGGGCTCAGGATCCAAAAATCAATTTTTTGTCAAAAAATGCCCCCAAAAACCTTCATAAAAATTTTTCAAAGGCATGTTTCAAAAAAATGAAAAAAACGTCTGGGGGTATTTGTCCACTCTACCTCCATGCCAAATTTCAAGTCATTTGGCTGAAAGATGGCGGAGTTGAATCCCTCTGAACGAGTGGCAGGACGAGAAGGAGAAACATGAGGGAACACAATATATTTCATCCATACCATGGTATGGACTGAAATATAACAATGTTTCCTTCTACGAAGGTAACATATTCTGGATAAGGAAAGCTGCCATTTTTCTAAGCACACTTTCATTATGGCTTCACCACAATATGTGAACATATATATATAGACACCTCGGAGGTGTCTATGTTCGTTTTGGCTTGGTCTGAAGTGATAATGTTGTCTGCACAATTGAAGAGAGTTTAGATCATTGCTAGTTTGTGTTCTCAGTGTCTCAATATGTGAATTATACTAACTGTCTGCTGATGCGGTGGCTAACAGCTGTCCTGTGTAGTCAAAGGCAACATCCAAAACTTCATCTTCATGGCCTCGCAGCGTACCTATGCACTGGCCTGTGGGGAAAATTCTATTATTATTATCTTTTTTATGGACTTATCAGGATGATTGAAAACATTTTCAAACATTCAATAATGTTATTGTAATTTACCGCCACTGTTCAACATATTTGCGCAATTATCTCACATTTCTGACAATCATGGTTGGTGCTAAAACAGCCCGCTGAGGAGCACTCAGTTTGTGGTGCCCACACCAGAATGTAAGCCAACATGGCTTACAGTAACAGCTGTGTTTTAATAAGCTTCTAAACACACTCATATGGTGTCATATTTTAGCACCTCCACTTTCCGAATGGCACTCATGATCATTTGCAATGGTCAGGAGTAGTGTTGATTCAACTTACTTTTAGAAATGACCATAAAATTTCCTTTTTGTATTGTATTTAAGTTAATGTTACATAATGCAGCTTTAAGGTCATTATTGCGTAAACATAGTCCATTGTTGTGGTGGTAAGGTTTAGCCTGACCTGTCCTGGCATCCCAGATCTTACAGGTGTTGTCCATGGATCCTGTGGCTATAAGGGAACAGTCCCAGTTGAACTGAGCACTGCTGATCTCACCACGGTGGCCAATCAAAGTGTGGATTCGACTGAAACAGACAAAAACATCTCAAGGTGGATCTCCAAGTTCTTCAACAGCTTCGTAATGTTTTAACTTGGGAAAAGGCCTCACCCTAAAATGTATCACATAGTTCTGAATTCAGTTTTATTCACAAACAGCAACGAGCTTCTACAACATATAGAGTCCTTGCAAACAGTGACAATATCAAACTTGTTCGTCATTTTTTGCCAGAGTCGAGGCTTAAGTGGTTTCATCAGCGAAGTAGGTCGCAATTTTATGCCTTGCTGAAAATTGTTGATGCCGTGGCACGTCGACAATACACATTACGTGTCTGATAGGTCCGGCTTGCGCTGTTCCAGCGGAGAAGAGCAAAATGTCTGGCAGTTTTGGCATTGGATTTTTGTTTGTTAGCTCATACACAGGCATCGATGCATCCATGATTCTTGAGTTCATAGTTATGTGAGATGTTTATTGGAATCACACGAATCGGAACAAACTCAGAGTATCAAACGGTAAACATCGATCACCTACGGCCAAGACCGTGGACCTGCTGCGCTGATAATCCCCCGTATTGTCCACAAATTATCAACAAAGACGTGAAAATGAGGTGGTATAAGTGTCATGTAAATATCAAAATACAAAGGCTGTTCATTAACGACCGAAATATCGTGAAAGATTTCTCACGTAGAAGAAGTTTCACAGTGGCATTTCACATTACCAGTGGACAGTTCTGTAAAATTCTGCGGGACATCCTGCAATCTCACGCAGGATGTCCCACAATATACCACAGGATGTCTCGCAATATACCGCAGGACGTCCCACAATATACCACAGGCTGTCCCGCAATATACCGCAGGACGTCCCACAATATACCACAGGATGTCCCGCAATATACCGCAGGACATCCCACAATATACCACAGGATGTCCCGCAATATACCGCAGGACGTCCCACAATATACCACAGGATGTCCCGCAATATACCGCAGGACGTCCCACAATATACCACAGGATGTCCCGCAATATACCGCAGGACGTCCCACAATATACCACAGGATGTCCCGCAATATACCGCAGGACGTCCCACAATATACCACAGGATGTCCCGCAATATACCGCAGGACGTCCCACAATATACCACAGGATGTCCCGCAATATACCGCAGGACGTCCCACAATATACCACAGGATGTCCCGCAATATACCGCAGGACGTCCCACAATATATCACAGGATGTCCCGCAATATACCGCCGAACGTCCCACACTCTCCTGCAGAACGTCCTGCAAAAATTTATGCGTATTTCGTGGCCTGTGCTGTAACAGTAACATTTTACACACCAACAGTGCAGAATAAGAATACACTTATCATGCTCTTAGTCTAATAAATATTAGACCTGATTGTACATCTGATACTGCTTCAGAAATGGGTGTGCGGGTTGTGTGGCTCCATTGGGTCTCAGGTTCAAATCCTGTCATGTCACCGGTTTTGCTCCCTTGCTAAAAGCACTTTTCCTCACTTCACTCAGGTGGAAATAAGTATATCTAGCTTTCGTTAGGGACTTCCCTCAGATAAGACATTAAATGGAGGTCCTGTATTTGAGGAGAGCCACACTTCAAGCTAGCTAAGGAACCAGAGATAAGAGTAAACTTTGTCTAATATTATAAGTAGGCCTAAAATGGGGTAAGAAATTTCCTGAGGAACCTGCTATGCCTATTAAGTCAGTTACATTTAGGTAGTCAAAGGTAGTCAAGCATTAAAGCTTGATGTTTCTGACTTAGTTATACTATTAATAACTTTATTGCCCAACAATTGTACAGGGTACAAAGTACGGTATCTTATGCCAAAACTACACTTTCATAAGTCTAACCTGATACAATCAGGTTGGGGATAGGGATAGGGCTAGTATGGGATAGGTATGTACTTTTACAATGTTTGGAGGAATTTCTAGTATCTATACATACATATCTATATCCCCATGACTATAAAACATGCAGCGGTTGTCACTAGTCAATATGTATAATAATAATTTAGATTCTTTTTCAAATTCATAGTGGTAAATGCTGGTATTGAAATAAATGCTGGTATTGAAGCTATACTATTGTATAGCGAATTACGTTACAATATATTTAGGACATACGATCATGAAGTGATCTTCATCCTCAATTAGCTCAGGACAAAATGGACAAACCCTCTAGTGGATGGGATTTAATTTTTTTATCTCCCGGCTTCTATACTTAGTTTGTGACAGTCAATTCTGAGTTTTGTAATTGCATTATGTACAATGTCATGTACATATAGAATACAACACGGGATATTCCGTATCGCCCGAGGTATCGGCCCGACTGCGGGTCGGATCGCCCGACGGCCGCAGGCCGGAGGGCGATCCGACTCGCGGGAGGGCCGGGACCGAGGGCGATGCGGAATACACCGTGTTGTATTTTATTTATATCATACCCACCCAAGAAAACGCGCCTTTCAATGCAATATGAGCCAAAAGTTGGTGCCCCTAAACCCTCAAATGCAACAACATCAGTTCCAACGTCCGGATTCTGTATTCGAATTTTCGAAAGGGGCACACGCGGTTAGGGCGAAACGCATTCGAATCGTTTTATGGAAGGCATGGAAGCGTTCGATAACGGGTTCCGGACCGGGCCGTACCGTAAAGT